GGGGCTTAATGTATTGTTTTTTATTTTTCCCATGACAAGTACACTTTTTTAAAAAATATTTTATTTATTCATGAGAGAAAGAGAGAGAGAGAGAGAGAGAGGCAGACAGGTAGAGAGAAGCAGGCTTCATGCAGGAAGCCTGAAACAGGACTTGATCCTAGAACTCCAGAATCACACCCTGGGCCCAAGGCAGATGCTTAACCTCTAAGCCACCCAGGCATCCCAACAAGTATACTCTTTAATCCTCATCCTTTATTTCACTCATCCCCCACCCACCTTCCCTCTGTAACCATCAGTGCGTTCTCTGTGGTTAGGAGTCTGTTTCTTGGTTTGTCTCTCTCTCTCTCTCTCTCTGTCTTTTTCCCTTTGCTTATATGCTTTATTTCTTAAATTCTGCATGAGTGAAATCATATGGTATTTGTCTTTCTCTGACTGACTTATTTCACTTAGCATAATACTCTCTAGTTCCATCCATGTCATTGCAAATGGTAAGATTTCTTTCTTTTTATGGCTGAGTAATATTCCATTATATATACATACTCAGAAGCTTTCCTTCCCCTTCCATTTTTTGGAATAGTTTGAGAAAAATGGGTGTTCACTCTTCTTTGAATGTTTGGTAGAATTCACCTGTGAAGCCATCTGGTCCTAGATTTTTGTCTGTTGGAAGGTTTTGTTTTTTGTTTTTTCCACTGGTGACAATTTATTATAATCTGTTGGCAGCACACAGATAGATATTAATAAAACTAGAACTATGTTTCTATAGAAATGGGTGATGATATGTAGCCATTCTATGGGAACTGTGTGCCATTAATCATCATGTTTTAGATTTTTTTATTTTCTTCTTGTGCCATTCAATTTCTTTCTGCAGATGCTCAATCTCCTTTACATGATGAGTGATCTCATCTTCATGGTGTTTCTTCAAGGCTGCCAGTTGTTCTATAGTATGTACTTGGAAGTATCATTCCTCTTCAGCTTGCTCTTTCTTTCCAAAGGCCCCACCTGCCTCCTGGATCAAGCTGGCGGTGCTGGCATCCTCTGAGTCTTCTGATCGTTCAGAGGCGAAGCCTCAGGTTTACAGTGCCCTAAGCCCCACATGCCCAGCCACATCTGTGTGGACACCTCCATGACAGCCATTGTCAGAGTAGACCTTCACAGTCACCCCTGTTGGGAGTTTTTTGATTACTGATTCAATTTTTTTTAAAGATTTATTTATTTATTTTGAAAGAGAGAGACAGAGAGAGAGAGAGAGAGAGAGTGCAGGGGGAGGAGCAGAGAGAGAGAATCTCAAGCAGACTCCCTGCTGAGCATGAAGCCTGATGTGGGGCCCATTCTCATGACCCTAAGATTATGTCCTGACCCAAAATCAAGAGTCAGACACTTAACCAACTAGCCACCCAAGGGCCCTAATTACTGATTCAATTTCATTGCTGGTAGTTAATCTGTTCAAATTTTCTTTCTCCCTGGTTAAATTTTGGTAGGTTATATGTTTCTAGAAATTTATCCATTTCTTCTAGGTTGTCCAGGTTGTTGACATATAATTTTTCATGATATTCCCTTAAAATCCTTTGTAGTTCTGTGGTGTCAGTTGTTATTTCTACTCTTTCATTTCTTTTACTTTTTTAAAAATTTTTATTTACTTGAGACAGAGTGCGTAGAGAGAGAGAGAGAGCGCACATGAGCAGGAGTGAGGGAAAAGCTGCTCCCCACTGAGCAGGGGACTCGATCCCAACCTGAACCTAAGGCAGACACTTAACCAACTGAGCCACTCAGGCACCCCTCTCCCTTCACATCTGATTTTAAGTCTCCTCTCTTTCTCTCTCTTTTTTTATGAATCTGGCTAAAGGTTTACAGTTCTTTTTATCTTTTCAAAGAACCAGCACCTGGTTTCGTCGATCTGTTCTAGTGGGGATTTTTTTAGTTTCTACTTCATTTATTTCTGCTCTCATTTTTATTATTTCCTTTCTTCTACTGGTTTGGGGCTTTGTTTGTTCTTTTTCTAGCTCCTTTAAGTGTAATTTTAAGTTGTTTATTTGATATTTTTCTTGCTTCTTGAGATAGGCCTGGGTTGCTATAAACTTCCCTCTTAGAAACACTTTGGTTGCATCCCAAAGATTTTGGACTGTTGTTTTCATTTTCATTTGTCTCCATGTATTTTTTAAAATTTTCTCTGATTTCTTGGTTGACCCCTTCATTGTTTTATAGCATATTATTTACCTCCATGTATTTATGCTCTTTCCAGATTTTTCCTTGTGATTGATTTTTGGATTCCGAGTATTGTGGTCAGAAAAGATTCATGGAATGACTTTGTTGATCTTTTAGAGTTTGTTGAGACTTGTTTTGTGGCCTCATATATGATCTATTCTGGAGACTGTTTCACGTACATTAGAAAAGAATGTATATTCTGCTGTTATAGAGTGGAATGTTCTGAATATATGTTAAATCCACCTGGCTCAATGTCTCATTCGAAGCCACTATTTCCTTATTGATTTTCTGTTTGGATGATCTGTCAATTGAGGTAAGTGAGGTATTACAGTCCTACGAGTGTATTGTCTTATAGATCAGAAGTCTGACATGGATCTCATTGGGCTAAATCAAAGTACATTCCTCCCTAGAGGCTCTGAAGGAGAACCTGTTTCCTTTCTTTTTCCAGCTTCTAGAAGATGCCCACTTTCCTTGGTTCATGGCTCTTTCCTCCATCTTCAAAACCACATCAGGTTGAGTCCCCTTCATGCTGCCATCTCTTTGATTCCCTCTTTTGCCTCACTCTTCCACTTTTAAGGATCTTATATCCCTGTGATTACATTAATCCCACCCAGATAATCCAGGATCATCTCCTTATTTTAAAGCAAGTTGATTAACGACCTTAATTCTAACTGCTACTTTAATTCCCCTTTGGCATATGTTCCTACAAAATTCTTATGTTGAAATCCTCGATCTCGGGATCCCTGGGTGGCGCAGCGGTTTGGCGCCTGCCTTTGGCCCAGGGCGCGATCCTGGAGACCCGGGATCGAGTCCCACGTCGGGCTCCCGGTGCATGGAGCCTGCTTCTCCCTCTGCCTGTGTCTCTGCCTCTCTCTCTCTCTCTCTCTCTCTCTCTCTCTCTCTGTGTGTGACTATCATAAATAAATAAAAATTTAAAAAAAAAAAAAAAAGAAAAGAAATCCTCGATCTCTTCACAGGCCCACCATGGTGTTGGGAGGCAGGGCCTTTGGGAGGTGCTTGGGTCAAAAAGGTGGAGCCTTCATGAATGATATTTGTGCCCTTTCTAAAGGGACCCCAGAAAGGTCGTTTTTTTTTTTTTTAAGAGAGAGAGCAAGTGCAAGGTGGGGGGGGCAGAGGGAGAGAATCTTAAGCATACTCCACACTTAGTGCAGAGCCCAATGAGGGGCTCCATCTCATGACCCTGAGATTATGACCTAAGCTGAAATCAAGAGTTGAAGCTTAACCAACGGAGCCACCAAGGCATCCCTGAGAGCTCTTTTGCCTTCTTTCTACCATGTGAGGACACAAGGAGAAGATGGTCATTTATAAAACAGCAAGCATGCTCTCACCAGACATCAAATCTGCCAGTACCTTAATAGTGCTTAGACTTAGCCATCTTCCAAAACTATGAGAAATAAATTTCTGTTGTGTAACCCACCCAGTTTATGGCACTTTGCTATAGCAGCCCAAACTAAGACAGCATATAACCTAACAAATTTGCAGGTTCCAGAGATTAGGAGGTGGACATCTGCTACCACATCATAAATATTTGTCCATATTAGGGGAAAATGTTTTTGTTTTGTTCTGTTTTTTTAGAGAGAAAGTGAGCATGGGGGAGGTGGGCAGAAGAGGAGGAGAGAGAGAGTCTCAAACAGGCTCCATGCTTGGTGTGGAGCCTAATATGGGGCTTGATTCCACGACCTCGAGATCATGACCTGAGCTAAAACCAAGAGTTGGACAATTAACTGACTGAGCCACCCAGGTGCCCTCTTTTCTTTGTTGGGGAGGATGTATTTCTTTAAAAGATGATCTTATGTATAGCCCAGTTTGGAAGTCAGACTGGACCCTAGCTCAGAAAAAATATCCAAGCTTGAGTCGGGAGCTCTGACTTGGCTTATTAGTTATTTAAATATTCTCCTTACATAAAAAAAAACAAGCAAACAAAAATATCCTTTGAGATTTGTAACCTAAGTATGTGCAGCCTTCTGCCTTCTCCCCATAGCCACAGGAAGGAAACATCTCATTTCCACATAGTCCACAGAAGGCTCAGCAACTATGTATGGAGGAAATGAGAGACAAAGAAGGGAGGGAGGGAGGGAGGGAGGGATAGAGGGAGGGAGCTCTCCTTACCATCCTCCTGACACTGGGTCTGCCCAGTTTTCCATCTGCCTCCCTGAATGACCCTGTTCTCTCTTCTTCTCAAGCTTCTGTTGCTACTCCCACTAACCTGGAGAAATAGGACACACCCTTAGGCAGGGTGTAGCATAAGGAATAATGGAGCTACTTCTGAAGTCCCAAACAAATCCCAAATATTATAACAAGTGGTCCCTTTTATTCTAAACACTTAGAAAATGACAAGGGTTGTGGCAGCTGTGAGACAGAGCCATGATTGAAGACCAAGAGAAATGCTGGGTGTTGTTTTTATATAAAAGCAGTGTGGAAACAAGTAAAGCACCATTGCCCAATCCAGTGAATGTACTCAGGCAATGAAAACCCATGACTATCCTAAACTCTTGGTCAACAGCCTCTTCCAACTTCTTTCTTTCCTCCATAAAAGTAAGGCCCTTTTCAGTCTGTACTAAGTGTATTAATCAGGATAGGTTAGCTGCTATAAGAAACCACCCCACTCGTTCCATGCCTTTTCACACAATATGAAATTTTTCTTAAAGATTTTATTTATTCATGAGAGAGAGAGAGAGAGAGAGAGAGAGAGAGAGAGAGAGAGAGAGAAGCAGGCTCCATGCATCCATGCAGGGAGCCCGATGAGGGACTCAATCCCGGGACTCGGATCATGCCCTGGGCCAAAGGCAGGCGCTCAGCCGCTGAGCCACCCAGGCGTCCCTCACACGATATGAATTCATTTCTTGTTTATGGTCACAATACAATGCTGGGGTCAGGGAAGACCTGCTCCACAGAGTCATTAGGGGCCCAGGTTCCCTCCATCTACTGACTCATCCATCTGCAGCCTCAGCTGCTGGGGATGGTTTGTGTACATGTCCATGTCCCAGCCTGACAATCATTTTACCTATAAATGCCAAGGAAGAAAAGTTAGTTGCGCATTTAAGATCTGATAAATTAGGGATGCCTGGGTGGCTCAGCGGTTGAGCATCTGCCTTTGGTTCAGGGCATGATCCCAGGGTCCTGGGGTTGAGTCCCACATTAAGGCTCCCTGCATGGAGCCTGCTTCTCCCTCTGTCTATGTCTCACCTCTCTATGTCTCTCATGAATAAATAAATAAAAATTTAAAAGTAAGATCTGATAAATTAGCTGGGTCTGAAAGATACGATAGTAAATGAGAAGGGGGACCTTTTAGCAGAGAGGGAAGTGATGACGCTGTCCAGCAGCACCAGAGGCTGGGTGCTGAATCTTCCAACTTCACCATGGCCTCTAGATGTTTTGTTACTGATGAGGAATGGGCCCCCCACCCCTTGCTCCCATCAGCTGATTCCTCAGAATCAATATTGATTGATATTGCTCCCAATGGTTGGGAGTTCCAGGGATCCTAGAGTCTTAGAGAGACCAATGGAGCAAGTAGGTCTGAGGGGTCTTGTGGATTGCAGCTACCCCCGCTCCACCCTCACTGTATGGGCAGGAAATCTTGGTCGCTAGTGTCTTGAGCTCAAATTTTCTGGGTATGATGGAGGTAAACTAAAATTCTGGAAGGTGCTCAGGGTGGCAATAGCCTCCAAACCCCAGGGTTTGGCCTTCCAGTGCTGGAGGCTTAATGATTTCCACCCTTGGGAGCAATGAGCCCCGGGAGTATCACATTTGGGTGTGAGCTCACGATGTCATCTCAGAAAGTAATGGAACGATTTCTATTGGCAGCATAGTTGCACAGTGAATGGGGTAAGTGGAGGCCATAGTGAGTTCATTAACTGTTGAGCATTATTAACACTCAGGCAAGGCAGTAGTGTATGAAGAATATTCCAAATCAAGGCAGAAAAGCACAATGCAGTGCCTCCCACACTTTGGTACCTGAATCACCTGAGAGCTAATAAAGAACCCAGAGGCCCTGGACTGCTGAAGCAGTAGAGAGCCTGGGACTTTGTATTTATACCCAGGTCTCAGGTGATTCTGACACCTGCCATGGCCTTAGAACCAAGAACACGAGCTCTGGACACAGACTCTGTGGATCTGAATCCCAGCTCAGGCATGCGCCTGCCTGCTCAGCAACTCTGGCAATGCTGTAGATTGTTTGGGATACGGAAATTCTACCAGTACCTGTCTCAGAACTGCTGGCAGGGTGGAGTTGTTAGGAGCACAGCACCGAGAAGGGTGTCTGACTAAAAGTTAAACTCTGGCAACGGTACCCATTCTCAGGCCTGTTTCAGCTGTGGCAGGAAGGTGCCATTAGAGAAGAAAAAAAAATGAAAGGAAGGGATTAGAGGGTTAACAGGATATTCAATACCTGTAACTGAGATGTTTACAAAAACAAAGTCCTACTCGAGGGAAGTCCAGGTGGCTCAGCGGTTTAGCGCTGCCTTCAGTCCAGGACGTGATCCTGGAGACCCTGGATTGAGTCCCACATGGGGTTCCCTGCATGGAGCCTGCTTCTCCCTCTGCCTGTGTCTCTCATGAGTAAATAAATAACATCTTAAAAAAAAAAAAAAGTCCTACTCGATTAGCTAGCATATGCTACTAGCCAGTGAGCAGTTTGAGACTTTTGAGCAAGAAGTTGAGTGCCCATGTTGCAAAGAGGAAATCCACAAGAGGAAAAGGTCTATGGGTTTATTGAAGGCGGGAATGCTCAGCAACCACGCCCCACCTTCCATCCCCCTATCCAGCCCCATGGCTTCCTTCCTAACCTGTGGGCTTGATCCTAGGGCATAATAGAGGAATGATCAAGGTATGAAAGGCTTCCATAAAGGTGCCTGGCTGCAGCTGCTCTGTGGCATATCTTGGAAGAACTTAAAGGTGAGTCTGAAGAGGCAAGTAATCAGTAACCTGTTAATTAATATACAGGCTGCTTCCACATATCCAGAACTTCTAGAAGAGCTCTGAGACATACTTGGCTAAACCTTGTGAACTCCCAATACTCACAGTATTTAATTTCTGATGGGTTAAGGAGAGCTTAGTTTACAGGCAAAAAAGTGTGGTTAACAGGGTAACAATGTTAGATGTAGGCCAAGAGAACTCCTTCTGGGGAACCTGTCCTGGCCCCCTCAACCTATGTCCCTCTCCATGAGACAAACGATTTGCAGGACCAGGGACATGGGGATACCCAATGCTTGTGTCCCCATCTTACCCACCAGACCACAGTTTAGATACTCTTACCCACTTTACACCTTGTCCAAAACTACCCAAGCCTGCTTCTTCTAAAGCCTATAGGAACTTCTCCCCTGGGTCCATTTTCACAAAGATGGTGCTGCCCCATGATGCACACTCTTAAGGCCCACGTGCTGGGTGGCCAAGGGAGAGTGGTTTGCAGTGATGACGACACTTGGGAAGTGTGTGCTGGAGTTTCCCTTACGATGTTGCAAAGAACCAGGTGGGAAGAGGCCTAGGCCATGGGATGGCCAGCTGTGACACCACAGTGACTGGACCTGAGAATTCTAAATTCAAACTTGGCTTTCCAGAATGTTATGTCGAGGTTAGGAGGATGGAACATACTTGGGCTCAGCTTGACTTATAACTGAAATATTAAGATAGAGCACAGGAGTCTCCATTCATATTCCTACCTCTGGCTTTACAAATGTTGGGGATGCACCTGATGGCTAAAGGTATGTACTTTAGTATCAGATAGGCCTCAACTAAAATATTGGAGTGTGCCATTTACTATGTGCCTTGGGCAATTTACATGAACTCTTTAATTGACGTTAAGGCTCTTTTGTTCCAAGTAAGAATATCCCAATTCAAACAGACTTAATCATAAATAGGAATTTATTGGTTCTTCTGACAAGTCCAGTGGTAAACACGTCAGGTGTGTCTGCATCTGACAGCCTCCCTGGCACGTGGTCTCTAGCTTCCTTCTTGGGCAGGACTACCCACCGTAATAACCATCCAACCTACTTACTAAGCAATCTCCACAGAAAATTCAAGACACCACTTTTCTACAGATCTGGCAAAGTCCAAGGGCCTGATGATTGATTACATGGCCACCATGGAGGGTCTCAAGTCTCTCTCCTCTAAGTCACATGGATTAAGAGTCATGGAAGCGTAGTTCACCAGATAAAAATTAAAATGCGGTAAAAAAAAAATGAGTTGATGGGGATTAGTTGCATAGTACTCAAGTTAGCCACTACTTAATGCGATCACAAAAATGCAGAGGGGTTCAAACAGGGTGTGCAGAATGGGAAGCAAATAGAAATTTTCACGCTCATTTTCCAACTGCCCAAAATTCTGCAATCAGAGTTGGCAGCTTGAAGAACTGGAGACTTGGAAATGCACTGACAGGCTTAGAAGACACATGGGAATTTTGTGCAGAAATCATGCTTTCAGTTGTCATGGCCAATCCTGCAATGCCAACCGATACCCATCAGGGTGCCTCTGCCTCGAGAGCTGGGTGTGAAACCAAGCCATGCTCACCAGGAAGACTCCTCTGGAATTGTGTAGAAAGTACACGAATCCCCAAATTATTAAGTTTCTAGGTCTGTGGCCAATTTGGGGGCAATGTTCAGTCTATCCAACACTGTCAGAGGTGACCCACTAACACTGATAACAGGATGTGCTTCCTACTCGCCTCCTGTCACCTCCAGGCACAGAACAATCTTACATAGGAAGATCCTTCTTACATAGGAAGATCCTTCTTACCTTGATCGAAATTGACCAAGACTATCGACAGGCCTTTAAATGTGCACTTTTGTGGTTTAAAGATTGTCTTGTTTTTGATGACTGATAAAAACAGGCTATATACCACCATTCAAAATATTTCCCCGGCTTTTTATTTTGAAAAATTGCAAACCCACAAAAGTTGATAGTAATACTAAAATATTAATGCTGCCTTCACACACACAAAGTTTGAATCACGGTACCTTCTCCATGCTTACAACAGAACCAGCCTCATCTTAAGTGAGAGGAGCGCTGTCCTCAGGGAATCTGTGAGGACTTTTTTTTTTGTAGTGCTTCACTTGTCTTATTAGAAACTCACAGCCCTTTATAAGACCCTCAGGTCAGGATTTATTCCCATTTTACAGATGTGGAAACAAACTCAGAGAGGCCCAGTGATCTATTTGCTCAAGGCCTTAAGGCAATAAGTGACCGGCCCAACTTGGAACCAAAGACTTCTGATTTCAGTAACTCAACATACTACAGTCACTTGCCTCCTGGATACACAGTAAGAGTAAAGCCAGAGCCAAACAGATATGCAAAGTGTTTTAGCTTCATTCTTCTGACAACCTGAAAGCAAATATTCAGAGACCCGTGTGCATAGTGTTATTAATCAAAAGTCTGTTATCAGGAGCATAAACCCAAAATGAAAACTGAGTGGGATGAGGCTTACTGAAATGTCTTTTAACTGCCCCTGATTTGACTTCAATATTTATTGAGTGCTTACTGTCCCTGGTATTGTGGTTGGGATAGAGAGCAAATAAGATAAAAGATCCTGCCCTTGCGGAGTTCACATTCCTGTGGCTTAATGAACGATCCAGAAGCTGCCAAGGAGAGACTGGTGGCCTGCATCTGGCTCACAAGTGCTTTGTTTGGTCTATACAATGTTTTTGTCTTTGTAAAATAAATCACCAACTGCTAGCTTCTATCTAACAAGCAACTTCTGCTGAATTCCTGAATGATAAGTAGCAGCCACCCCTACCTCTCACCCCAGACACATGACCTCTAGAAATCACTTCAGTGTTCCCCATTTCCCACCATCTTACACCCAGGCAACTGTGGCCCCATTCATGCATTTGCATTTTCCACCTGACATCCATAAGCATTTCAGCTGAAACCCCTGGGGCAAACAAATATCCAAACAAGATCATTTCAGATAGCATTAGGTAATAAAAATAAAGTAAGCTAACGTGACAGGTGTGATATGATTGGTGGAAAGGGCTACTTCACACTGGATGGTCAGGGAGGGTCTCTCTGAAGTATAACTGAAATGAAGAACTGAATTACGACAAGCATGACAAGTCTACCAACAGAAAAGAAGAAGGCGTCCAAGCAGGAGGAACACAGCACAGGAAGAGCTTCTGGTTGAGGCAGGATATAAATTGGCTTGGTTAAATCTGTAACACCAAGTTTGGGGTGGCTGGGAGAGTGGTAACAAGATCAGAGAGGAAGGAAGAAGCCAGATTACATAGGACCTTTAGGCCATGACAAGAATTTTGGATTTTATTCCAAGTGCGATGGGAAGCCTTTGGAAGGTTTTTGCTTGGGAACAATGTGATCTGGTTCACATTTTCAAAAATCACTCTGCTAGTTTACAGTGACTTAACAAGGAAATAGAGGAAGCAGAGGCATCAGTGAGGAAGCTACGCTATCACAGTCCAGTAGGTGACAGTGGCTAGGACCAGGATGGTAACAGAAAGATGGAGAGAATCAGATTCAGGATATAGATTCTAGAGTCTAACCAAAATAATTTTCTGGTGGGGTGGGTGGTTAGTAGTGGCAATCGGCCAGAAGGATTAATGAAAAAAGGAGTAATTAGGGATAATTCCGAGGTTGTGCTTGTTCAAACATTTATGAGTTGGGAATGTCTAGGGGAGGCCCCAATTTTACAGGAAGAGACAGCAAGAATGTGATTTCAGATGAATAAATTTTGCCAAGATTCAAATCACCCTGGATCCTCGTTTCCATTCTCCGACATCCAGACAGTCTCAAATCCAAAAACTTTGAACTTCTTAATGCCTAATCTCTTACCAACTCTATCCCTTCAATTTCAAATTCATTGCCTATATCCTGATTCAATCCTCCCTTTGCCTTGACTTTTACAACAGCCTTCTACAGTTATGAATTAACTAGCAAAAAACACTTTATAGCCATGTTTCCTTCTCTCTCAGAGGCCATCTTTGACGGCAGAGATCATGTCTTGTTCATATTTATCTCCAGTACCTACTGCTGTGCTAGGCACAAAGCAGGCACACAAATATCTGACAAAATACAAAGAGGTCTCCTCAAACAGGATACAACCTTAAAGAGAGGAGTCCTATCTTGGAATCCTGTGATTCCCTACACAAATTAAAGCAGAATTGGATAAAAAATATATCATCAAGTTCCACAAACTTTGCTTTTCCAAGATGTGTTTCTCTTCTTTTTATTTAGTTTTAAACTACACCCAGTCCTACTTTTACCTGGTAGTTGATAACTGAGATTGGCCGACAGATAACATATGTTGCTACTCTTTTCCACCTCCAAATCTAGAGACTTTATACAGGCATATCTTCACACCATCTTTGTAAGGAGATCGAGAGAGGATTAGTCTCCATTTTACAAATTAGGAAACTGAGGCACAGAATGGAAAACCTTAATTCTTTTTTTGATGGAGTTAGAAGCTTCGCCTGTATTAAAACTAGCTCTTCCCTGACAACATACCACAGTTCTGTAATTGGAAGGCATCCCAGGCTCCTATCTCTGCAAAACTACTGGTCAGTACTCAGGCGTCCCCATGGTTTTGTCTCCACAATTACAGACTCCTTTGGGTACCAGGGTGAGTTGCCACAAGGTCAAGGCCATGTCCTCTCTCTCTTCAATGTACTATTTCCCTCAGTGCCTGGTGAAGACAGATTCCTCCCATGGGCCCAGGAGAAAGAGAAGCACCTTGGTCATTAGACTGGAGGGTCAAGTAAGGCCAGGAGTCATAATGAGTAAGGAGAGAGAAAGAGAGAGATATCAAAGTAGGCAATAATAGTTTCAATGGGGAAAAGGAGAGAGGAGTCACCGAGAAAATCAGAATACTCCTTTCAAAAGGTTTCCAGCTGGTTGAGTACCTGGGAAGAAAAGTGGCAGTAGTGGTGGCGGCAGCAGCATGCCAGATCCTTCCTGCCATACCCTCCCAGAGTCATTTCTTCAAGGCACCCAGGCTTCTCAGAGCCTCCTGGGCCTGGGTCAGCTGCTGCTGTAGCCTTTGGCGGGTGCTCTCGTTGGAGGCTCGCTTCAGGAGGCCCTGCATTTCCTCCACCACTGCCCGGTGGCCGGGGGTGTTGTGGAAAAGCCGCACTGCCCGGTCCCCACAGGAGGCCAGAAGCCGGCCAGTGATGTCAAAGGACAAGTCAGTGATACACTCCCCATGGACCTGCTCAAAGCACTCTTCCTTCTCACCCCGCCGGGTGTTGTAGAGATGAATACTGCTGCCACTGGCCAAAGCCAAGACCTGGGCGTCAGGGGAGAGGGCCAGGCGGCAGAGCATGGTGCTCGCCTCTTCAAAGCAGCCTGTCCTCAGCAAGTAGGGATCCTGTTGCTTCTTGTATTCCACATCTGTGTCCCACAGTTTCCACGTACCATCCTTGGAGACTGAGGCCATCCTGCAGCATGGAAAATCACGGCTCTAGCCCCAACACACGCTGGAGGGGAAGGCACTGGGACAGCAGGAGGGGCTCCAGCTAGGAAGCCAACTGCACTGCTGGGGCTACTTCCTGCCAAGGGCCAGGCACTCTACCTACTTCAGAGCTGCCACAGAGATGGGCAAAGAGCTGGCTGCCAAGAGGGGCTGAGAGCCCCAGTAACCCATGAGAGAGGAGGCACTTACCTGCGGGAGTCATTGGAGAAAGCGAAGAAGTGGACGGCTGCAGAGTGCCCCTTCAGTTCAAAGGCTCGCATGACCTCCTGGAAATCGCCTTTTTTCCCAAAGCAGACTTCCCAAACTTTTACATCTGGGGTGAAGCCACAAGAGGCCACAAACCTGCCACACAACCAGGTTCCTTTACAACTTAAAGAGTATCTCATTTCTGCCAACCCAAAAGAGTATCTCATTTCTGCCAACCCACTAAACTTCATTCCTGAGAAAATTAATAATCTTCTATGTCAACAACGTTGTGTCTTTTAAAACCGCTTATCTAAAAAAAAAAAAATAAAATAAAATAAAAATAAAAATAAAACCGCTTATCTACACAGGATTTCAGTTCATCCTCATGCCCATGGTATAAGATACATAGTACCCCATCCCAACCTTTTAAAAACTATACATGACAAAAAGGGAGACTAAGGACTTGAATCTAGGTGTGCTGATTCCACACTGTATGTTCTTTCTGCTATTTGAAGCTGGCTCTCTGCTCTGTCTTTGGCCACAACTTCTGCCCATCCTAGATGCTAAGGCCCTCCTTCCTCACCTGCTGCAGGGGGATATAGCAGCATAGGTATTGTTCATCTGGTTGGTGTTGATCGTAGACAGCACATGACCTTTCAGATTCCAGATGAGGATCGTCGTGTCACTGGAAGCGGTCATGATGAACTTCCCTGGGGGTGGGGGGGTAGGAAGTAGGGGGAGTGGTGGTGGTGACATGAACTGAGTCAATGACTCAACCAGGTGTCATTCTCTAAGGAGACACTTCAGAAGGCCTCTGCTTTCTCAAATACGCATGCGCCCTTCCTGGGCCAAAGGTCCCCAGACATAAGGATTTTGCTCAAGCCTATGGGTCTTACTGGCCTCCCCTGGGGAGCTGCTATGGCTCTAGGACTCCAGGAGAGCCCAGAGCCAGAGCCCCTTTGTCACACTGGAGCTGAGCATAACTCTCAAGCAGCATTAACTCATTCAGCAAATAAATGGGGCTCTTCCTTCTAGTCCTTGGTAAGCTCCATCTCCTGAATGCTTCTTACCTGTGTCTGCAATGCCAATGTTGACGACGGGTGCCTTGTGCTTTTTAGGAAAGTCCTCTGGGTTGGCTGTGAAGGTATAGCCCCCATCTTCTCGCTTGGTCATCTTAAAGACACGAAGGGTATCTCCATTGGCCAGCCAGACGATGAAGGCTCTAGAGGCAGGTAGCAGACAAGTCACTCATTTGTTTGGACACGGAGGCCTATGTGTGAGGTTTGTATGCTAGGCTCCAAGGAAAATCATGGTCTTCCTTCATGCCCCAGTCCAGCCCTGCAACTTAACTCCTTTGTTCAAAACCTCTTAATACTTCTCAGAAGATAGGACTCGCATGGCTTTGGCTCCTTTGGTGTCTCTCTAGAGTTTAGAAAACCATTATAATTTCCAGGACGAATCTGGAGCCAGGTTTCGGTACTTCCCAAGTAGGAACATATCTTCCCCTCTCTGCTTCCTTTCTGTGTAAAATGCAGAGACCTCTAGGGAGCCCCAGGCAGTGCTTAAGCTGTTCAGATACTCTTTCTGCCATCCCCAGGGAGACCCCCATCCCCACTATCCCAAGTCAGGTATGGGAAAGACATAAGCCTGGGACTGGGCTTCTGCAGGCAAAGCTGAGGCTCCATCCTGTCCCACCTGCAGTCAGGGCTGAAGCGCACCAGGGTAGCATGGTCCAGCTCCACGTTGGCTCTCAGGCTGCGGTGCTCCCGCTGCAGGAAGTCCTTGGTGCTCCAGATGCGGACAGTACGGTCATCTGCACAGGTGGCCAGGTACTTGCCATTGCTGCTAAAGTCCATGCAAGATATGTTCCCACTGTGGCTCTAAGGGAAGGGTTGCAGGAAGTATGAACAGGGACCCCTTGGGCAGATGGGGTCTGCTGCCTGGATTAACAACAAGCTGCTGATGGGGTATGATGAGGGATTGGATGGGGCATCCCCACTAACTTTAGTCAGAGGCAGAAGAGTCTGTCATGTGCACAGAGCCTTAAAAAGGAAAAGTCTACGTGGGGGCGGGGGGGGGGGGTGTGAGTCTCTGTATATGTATGCTGAGCATGGGTATCCATGTACCTTTAATGCCGCAGCCAGGAGGCGGTGAGTGAAGTTGTGCTGCTGAGGCTTCTCCTTGCGAATTCGTTGATGCTGTTTCTGCTTCTTGGACTTCAAGGACTTGTCAGGTGGAAATCCATTTGCTTTTTGGCCTATGAGGAGGGACTGTGTCATCTACCCATTCACTCACTAAGCATTTCTGACCACCTGTGAGTGGCCAGGCATTGAGTGGAGCAGCAAGAGACGACCAGATAAGGCCCCAAGCTTGAGAAGAGACGGTGAGGTAGGCAAAAAACAGGGGCTTAGGAATCAGACTGGGTTTGGATTGTGTCTCTACCATTGAGTGACCTTGAGGATATTACTTGCTATTTGTCCATACAGTACCTCAATGCAACTTAGAAAAGGCACTCTCCGGGCCTGTGCAGCTCAGCTGGTACATGGCACAGCCAGCTAAGTGCAGATCCTTGGCCAGACATCCCTAGGTAGGGAATTATGTGCACAACCAATTTGGTGGGCCTGGCCTTGGGCAAGCTCCTTAACTGCTCTGGCCCTTAGTTTCCTTAAAGAGAAGTTGTGAGTACCCAACACAAGCATTAAAGGTTCAGAGGACTCCCAGAGAGAACTCAGGGATGATAAGTAGTCAACCCCTGTTGAGCACCAACCCTGTGCCGGGAATGGTGCCAGTCACTTCTGCATAAAATAGCTATTTTAATTGAGAGTCAGGCCAGGTGCAGAGCTGGCATGTGTTACATTACTCCAGATACCCCTCAATTCCTACAGGGAATAAACTCCTGAGGCCCATAAACAGAGACCACCACAACCTGCCCTCTCCTGTCAGCATCCTGCCCTCCTCTCCCCTCACACTAAAACCCCACCAAATGCCCTTTGAGAACTGCTTGCTTCCATGCACACTGCCTTTGCCAGCGATGTTCTTCCTTCCTCCTTGGCCAAACTCTTGACACACCTGTCCTTCGAGACCCCACACCATGTGTTTCCTACTCAGTGAAGCTTTCCTTCACCCGCCCCTCCCCACCCAAAAAAGCAGGGCTGACCACCCCCACCCTTGGGTTTCCTGGTTGCTAGTACTGACCTCCTCTCTGAAACCTATTACACTCTATGTTTCACTTACATTTCCGGATGATCTCCCTTATGCAACCGCGAGCTCCCTAAAGGAAAAATTCCTCACACCTACTGAGATGATAGTAGCTACTTAACAAACGTTGCTCCTGTCGAGGAACTAGTCCGAGTGGTTACAAATACGCGTCTCCCCTCACCGCTCCCCGCTTTCCTAAAATAACGAGCAAGCAGCGCACCCGAGAGCCTACTTAAGAGCTCTGGAAGCAACCGCGGGAGACCGGGAGGCCCAGAGGGCAGCGCCTCGGCCCCCTCCACCCCCGCCGCCCGGCCTCCGAGGAAGCGGCAGCGCGGGACGCAGCCTGCAACTAGCGCTTCCTGAGGTAACTCGCTACCTCGGTAACTCGTCTCGGAAAGCGAAGCTCATTTCACAAAGGGAGAAACTGAGGCCCAGAGGGTCCGCGGCACCCCCGCCGGCCCAAACCGCACGTCGGACCACGGGGAGGCCAGAAGCAAGGTCCCCGCGGGGTGTCTCCACTCGCCCCCGCCTCACTAACCCGCGGGCCGGCTGCCCGTCTCCTCCTCCGCGCGCAGCCACCCCCGCGCTACTGCCGCCGTCGCCATCAGGGCCAGCAGCCCGAGCAACAGCGACAGGCCCATCAGCTCGGGCATCTGCGGTAGCTCCATGTTGGCGGGCCCACTGCCACCTCAGCCTCCGACGACGCGGACGCCGACGCCTCCGCGGGACCGCGCACGCACGCGGGGCGGGGTCTGGCCGTTGGTGCGCCCCGAGGGGCGGGGTCTGGCCGTTGGACAGTCTATGGGGCGGGGCCTGACAGTCGGAGCGTCCCGGGGCGGGGCCTTGTGGTGGGCGTGTCTCTGTGGGGCGGGGCCTGGTCGCTGGCGCGTCCCGGGGGGCGGGGCCTGACTCTTCTGGCGTTTGGCTTGCGTTGTCTCCAAAGCTCCAGGGCGAGATATGCAGGCTTTGCTGAGTCCTCCTCCTCTTTTTTTTTTTTTTTTTTTTTTAAGATTTATTTATTTATTGGGATCTCTGGGTGGCGCAGCGGTTTGGCGCCTGCCTTTGGCCCAGGGCGCGATCCTGGAGACCCGGGATCGAATCCCACGTCGGGCTCCCAGTGCATGGAGCCTGCTTCTCCCTCTGCCTGTGTCTCTGCTTCTCTCTCTCTCTCTGTGACTATCATAAATAAATAAAATAAAAAAATATATATATAAGATTTATTTATTTATAGTAGACATGGAGAGAGAGAGAGAGAGAGAGAGAGAGAGAGAGAGAGAGACACAGGAGGAGGGAGAAGCAGGCTCCATGCCGGGAGCCCGACGCGGGACTCGATCCCGGGACTCCAGGATCGCGCCCTGGGCCAAAGGCAGGCGCTAAACCGCTGAGCCACCAAGGGATCCCCCAGTTTAAGATTTTATTTATTTGTTCATGAGAAACAGAGAGAGAGAGAGAGAGAGAGAGAGAGAGAGAAGCAGGCTCCATGCAGGGAGCCTGACGCGGGACTCGATCCCCGGTCTCCAGGATCACACCCTGGGCTGAAGGCGGCGCTAAACCGCTGAGCCACCTGGGCTGCCCTGAGTCCTCCTCTTGAGTAATTCACTGATAATCGTTTATTAAAGGCGCTGTTCCAGCCATCACCACAGTGGATCCTTTCGAGGAGGCAAGGCAGAGAATAATGGAAGAGTGGGTGCCAAGACCAAAGACAAAAGGAAAATCAGGAGGCAGTTGCCAGGATCTAAGAGGGAGGTGATAAGGACCTAGACTTAGGTGTGGCCTGGGGAGTGGAAAGAAACTTTACAAGATTTTTAGCGAGATATTTTAATTTTGAAATTATAGATTAACGAGAAGTTGGGAGAACCAACAGGAAGGTTCCCTGTATCTTCACCTGGTTCCCCCCACTTAGTAACATCTCATATAGCTATAGTGCAATATCAAAACTGGGAAATTGGTATTGATATGATCTACAGAGCTCATCTAGATTTAACCAAAAAGGAAATATTCTGAAAGACTTATTGATAAAGTTTGAGTTAGACTTGCTTGCCTGGAAAGGAAATGTTCCCAGAACAGGGAGCACTGCCCCCATCAGCCTCCCAGGCCTGCAACCCAGAATGAGTTGAATTACCAGGGTCAGAGATTCCAGATTCAAAGATTTTCATGCCCACCAGGGAGCCTCTACTGACAGTGCAGGCTCTCCAGCCTTTAGAAGGACCTTCTAGGAAGAAGGACTGCTGGAGAGACCAGGTGGGGGACAGATACACCCATAAAAGCTCGACTAAGGACATAGATCCAGTCAGAGAACAAATGGAGTGTGGCCTCATTTCCTTCCCTTTTGTCCTGGGGGGTGGGGTGGGGTTGGCATTGACTCAGCTGTGGGCTGGTGCCAAACCTTCCACATTGAGGGCTTCTGATTTAATTGGTCTAGACAGGACCTGGTTGTGAAGACTTTTTAAAGCTCAAATGCACATTTAAGTTTGAGAAGCAGCTGTCAAGGATATGGTAGGCTAATACAAGACTATGTAGAAGGGGATGTTCTGTTGGACCAGGGTGGTGGCTGTAGAGATGGATGCATACAAGGTCAATGGGCCAGGCCTTAGTCACAGATACTACAGGGCACTGGGATGTTGGGAGGAGCCAAAGATGGCTGTTTTCAGCTTGCACAAGTGTCTGGATGGTGGCATCATTCCTGGGAATGGGGAACATGAAGAGGACCAGGTATTAGGAGGGACAGTGGGCTATAGTCTCAGAAATGAGGAGTTCTGTTTTGGTTCCTTTGAAGTTAAGGAAGCTATGAAACATCCAGGAGGGGTCAGGGTGGCAGTTGGATATATGCTTTTGCAGCTCCAAGGGCAGAGCAAAGCAGATACAGAAGAGTGGATCCTTGGCAGAGAAGCCAAAGGGAATGGTATTCCCTGAGACTTGCCACATAATGAGAAGGAAGTGGTCCAGGAAGGGGCAGGTGGAGAAAAAGACTCCCACAGCAGATACTGGGAAGGCACAGTCAGGGAGGAGGGAGAGCCTGGAGAGAATTCTGGATTCACTGGGAAAGGCTAGTTCTAGAATGGGGTCCAAGGGCCTGGGGGAAAGCAGGATGAACACTGCAAAGTGGTCATTGGATTTTGCAATGAGGGAGTCAAGTTACCTTACTAAGAGCAAGTCAGTGTAGGGGTGAGGCTGGGGTGGAAGTGGGGACCTCAAAGACAGGGGATGAGTGGGAGGGGAGAAAAGAGGGGGAGAGCAAGTGTAGGTAGCTCTGTCAAGGGAAGGTGGCATCTGGCAGGGGGATACAGGGTCCAGGGGATGTCGTGGGGGGCCCTTTCTGGAAGGGTGTGAGTGAGTAAAAACAGCAGAGCACACTGTTAGGATTTTACTTCTCCGAGAGCCACTTCAAAACTTTGTCTGAAAAAAAAAAAAAAACTTTGTCTGCAGCAACAAATAGCACTTAACACCTAGGTGCCCCTGTTACCTGCACAGTAGAGAGAGAGATGGCTAAAAGCAGAGACTAGAATCACACAGTCTGAGTGGGCATCTCACTAACCAACACAGCCCTGGGCTAGTTAATCTCTCTGTGCCTCAATTTTTCATCTGTGAAATTGGGATTATCAGTAATTATGATGATAACTTTTTTTTAAAGATTTTATATATTTATTTGACGAGAGAACTAGAGAGTACAGGTGAGGGGAACAGCAGAGGGAGCGGGAGAAGCAGGCTTCCCATGGAGCAGGGAATCAATGTGGGGCTTGGATCCCAGGACCCTGAGCTCATGAACTGAGCCAACGGCAGATGCTTAACAACTGAGCCACCCAGGTGCCCCGGTGATAACTCTTAAATGGTGTCATATGCTAGTTACTGTTTAAATGCTTTATATATATTTACTCTGAAATTCTCATAACTGGCCTATAGAGGAAGATGTTAATATATAATAAGTGAGTTAATATAAATAAAGTGCTTAAAATAATGCTCAGCAGACAGTAAACATTAGATAAGTGTGCAGTTAGTTTTGTCATCCCTGTTATGATAACACACAAATGAGGGCAAGTGGCCACAGAAGACTGCCTGCTATTTATGTCCCACAAGCATCCACAGAAGTCCTGAGATGTGAGAGGCTTGAACTAGCTCCATGGGGAGAGGGATCCAGCCGTGAACGGAATCCCCAGCACCAAGACCATTGCCTGGTCCACAGCGGGCCCTCAGAAAAGATTTGTTAAATGACTCAATAAAAAAATCAATGAAGTATCAGGGCCATTCACCCCAACTCCTCATCTGAGGTATCAGTTCCTTCTAAGACATCCTAACCAAGTGACCATCCACCCTCTGCTTGCACATCTCGCATAATGGAGAGGTCACTATCCACCCCCACCCCCCACCTGTGGTAGCATGTTCTCTTTAGATGTTTCCAGTGGAAGGCCCTGTCATTTCTACTTCTTGACTCAGCTCTGCCCTTTCCCAACATAAAAAGTGGTAAGCCGGGGTGCCTGGGTGGTTCAGCAGGTTAAGCATCTGCCTTTGGCTCAGGTCATGTTCCCTGGGTCCTGGAACTAAGCCCCTGCTCAGTGAGGGCCTGCTTCTCCCTCTCCCTGCAGTCCCCTTCTGCTTGTGCTCTCTCTGTCAAGTAAATTTAAAAAAAAATTTTTTTTTAAAGAAGGTGGTAAGCTTTCCTGAACCTTTTCCTGCCTATGCAAAGAGGAGTTCCAGGATGAGTGTCTGTCACCTCTCACCAGGATGCCAGCAATAGCCTAAAACTGTACTCCCTGCCTCTGCCCTTAAGGGCCCCTCTGTGGTGTATTCTCAACTCCACACCCAGAGGGATCCTGTTAAGAACTTACATCTGATCTTGTCCTATCCCTACCTACTCAAAACTTTCCAGTGCCTTCCAGCTCAGAGGAAAAGCTAAGGTCCTTTCAAGGCCACCTCCCACAGCCAACTGGCTCTCCATTCCCGAATGAGACACACTGATGGTCCCAAACAGTTTTTGTTTTTATTGGCAAGAATTCTTTACAAAATCCACACACACGCATTCACACGCACACAAGATGCCTGCCCTGGTTTGGCCACCACCTGCCCCGCTTTCTCCTGGGGTCAGACCTTCCTGGCGTCACCCAAGGATGCCATCCTGCAGCACCTCACCCCACACTGGGCTACCAGCAAAGGAACAGAGAGTGGGAACTTCCTTTTCTGCCCCTTTGCTGAGAAGTGGAGGCCTGAGCCCCATCAAGGGGGCGGGGAGAGGAGCAGGTGGGGGAAACAATTGTCCCCCCTCCTCCTACAAGCTCCCTGAATTGCCAGCTTAGGCCCCAAGTGTCACAGCTGCTAAGGCCTTGGGATCATCATCTGGTTGAAGCTTCTCCACCCCTATTTTGCAGACTAGAAAATGAAGGTCCAAAGAGAGAGTATGAGTCCCCCCTGCCCCCTCAGGTCTCAGTGTTCATCACTTGTGGGGCAGCAACTGGAACATAGCTCTTCCTGGCTTCCAGGAGGTGGAAGAGATTTGAGCCCTGCTAAACCCTCAGGAAAGGGCACAGCCAGACCTGGGGCAGGAAGGGAGTGCCCAGAAGTCGTCCCTGGAACCCATGCCCAGGGAGAGCAGCTCCTGGACAGCTGAGTGAGCAGCAGCATCTGGCCAACACTATAAAGGTTTGCCAAGGGTGCCTTCTGTGACTGCCCGTGTGGCTTGCTCGGGAATACAGGCTGGATCTGTCAGGATACTGGTAGATGTGCTCAG